ACACACACAAACGCAAGCACACACACACACAAACACGTGTTTATCGCATCAACTCTATAGCAGAGAGCCGAGGTCGAGAGGTACCGCATTAACATAACTGTTTTAGAATTTGAATTGGATAAGGTTAACACTAAAATATACGAAAATGTAATTTCTACTTCATTATCATTCTTCGCAAAAAGTTGTCTTCATAATTAATATCACGCGTGCAATTGAATTTTAAATCGACTGGTATTTACTTTGACTAGTACCACGGGAATAAACATGTTAATAAATTCAAATAAGAGTATTAAACGAATTATATACACAAGATATAGTAATTTTACCTAAGCAGTTAATTACAAAATATTTTAATATCCCTCCTGGAATTATGTCATGTAAGGCACGAAAGTTATACTATGAAAATGTATATTTTGTTTATATTTTGGAATAATGAGTTCAACAACGATGACTCGCATAATGTTCCCAAGTTGGAGCATTCCCAATGGCCTTTCACTCCATCTCAAAATTAGACTACAAATACTATTTTTAGCATCCCCGTAAAAATTGTTGGTAATGGGGGGCAGGGTGTTTTAGATTCCACGTATAAAACAGAATAACACGGCACAACTTTTTTTCCTGAACCTTGACACTGTTTACAGCGAATGGAAGAGAACATTTCAACTTCGCATGATTAAGGACCTCCCTAATAAAAATAATATTCAAAACCTACATTCCAATATATTGAAACGAATAGCACTACCTCTGATGAACTGAGTGGCCTCTTCGGGCCAACCACCCGAGCGAGCGCTGCAAGCTGCTCGGCGGTTTAGGACGCGTCAACTGTTAAGCTCATTAGTCCTGTAAGAGTAGTGCACGGTTTCATCTCGGGAGGTGGCGGTGATCTTCGCCCGCTGGATGGTGAGATCGGCACCAACCTACACGGAAGTTTGCAGGTCTCCCTAGCCACCCACGCCGGGACAATCTAAGCTCCGGACATGTGTGGTGGAGTACATCAAGTAAGGTAAGGGTGTGTATGTGTAAGTAAGGGACATGGAAGTGTATGTGTATGTGTGGAAGTGTATGTGTAAGTATAGGACAAGGAAGGAGAAAGAAAGATCGCACGCGGTCTGTGACCCGTTTTTACGGAACTGCTCCGGCATTCGCCTGGTTTTCATCGGAAAAAGCTCTGAGATTAGACGGCAGCTGAATTCTCCCGACACCAGCTGCTGTAGAGTTTACTATCTAGCTAGTAGCGAGCGAAGTGGAGCAGGGCGTAACGCGTTCACTTCGCAGTTGGGAGGCCCGGGCCGGCCAGCCTGACGGGGGTTTTCGTGGTTTTCCCTCGGTCACACAGGCGAATGCTGCGATAGTTCCAAAATGTCTCTATCACCTCACAATTCCCAGGCTGTCATCCAACTGCTTTGAATATCCTCTTAGGGGGATCCCCAAGGATCACAAGCGATCCAAGTATTACAACTACTATCTAGCTCATGACGAAAAACCTGCCCGCGTAGGACTTACCGCGACTCGAAGGACACCCCGGTCAGGTCGTGTAAGGCGACTGCACGAGTCTCGGGAAATCTCGAAACAGATACTCTGGCTTCCCACCTCAACTTAATGGATCATTTAGTTGCAGAGGTTCCCAAAAGTTGTCGAATTCATAGGCCGAGTGCACTGCCAAGTTGTTTCCCTGATCGCTTCCTGGCGTTGTCGACCGCAATAGAACCGTACGAGCAAAAAAAAACGATTTTACTTCTCTATTCCCTGCTAACGACCACAGCAGACGAAGGCCTTAAACATTCAATTAATTCATTCAATGAAGAGAAAAATCAGTAAGATGTCTTACTGCAATCTGAAAAGAAATTGAATCCCTTAATTCTAAGAAGGAAAAAAGTTACCTAGCAGCGTCATTTTCTCAATACCAACATCTCAATAAATTGGCTTATGACGATTCATTGTCTTGATTGACACCAAAAATTTTTCCTTTCCCAAAATATTACATGCTACCACCAGATAAAGGTTAGAGGGTACATGTTTCACAAATAAGGGGTCAGGGTCGCATGAATTTCAGAGTACAAGGTGAAACGGCTGCTTAACAAGGAAAAGGCTAGACCATTAGCCAACACATTTCCATCGTGTTGAATTACTCGTTACGACTTTGCGACTCTCCTCACGATGGGCAAACAAAAACAGTTTCGCTACTGCGATCTTTCGAACAGTATCCGAAGATTTTGTGCACATGCACCAACAGCCATCAGAGCACTGTAACACTAGTGAAAAGGAGAGGATGATGGCGTACCTTAACTTTTCCTCCTTGTATTTTTATAAAATGCAAAATTTGGATGTAACGATTTGGAAAAAAATTAAGTTTGGGTATGAATTATTTCAAAGACATCACAAATATCAGCAATATTATTAGTATCAAATGTATAAAGTGTATAATTCTGTACTTTATTACATGCACCAAAATGGCGAATAAAGTTTCTAGGTATCTGAAAGGTGATGTATAGTAGCAACGAACAGTAACATAGTAGCTTCGCCCAAACTGTGATATTTATAACGCTAAGAAAAAGAGAAAATTCTCTATTTTCCCCTCGCTTGGAATTTGCTTAAGTTGCGTTACAGTATGTTCCGTTTGATCATACTCCGAGTTAACGTAAAACGTAAGAACTTGATATTTTTAGCACCTTTCATTTAAAAAGTAGCATCAAGTTCCCATTTGTGGTATCGTACGTGCTTGTTAATAGATACAGTAGGAGAGATTGTTCCGTTGTTCGGCAGCACTCTTCAACTCATCCAGTAGGATTCCAAAATAATAAGGCATGAAAATGAGTACAACGTAAATAAAAGGCAAACTAATACGTACTTCCAAAAGAGTAGAAAATGCAACGACAGTCATATCTACCAACAAGAATGCTAAAACTTTGACCTGCCAGTTACACAGAAACAGGTGAAACGTTTCAAATGTGTAACAACAGTGGGGTGAAAATGATAGAATGATTCTTCCATTTCCCAAGAATAGGAAAACATCAGACCCACATATTTTTCTAAAAATAGTTCTCTGCCTGAAGGATGTGATCACATCAATTTTTTCTTTTAGAAATTACTGTTTTACGCTCCCAAGAGATCTGCTTGCATTGTGTTCTGGCGAGTTGAAACACTGCTGTCGAAGAGACCTTGAAGTGAGTAGTGACAGAGAAAGTGAACTGACTGGCCAAACTTCTTCCCGAACAGAGGCCATAAGGCTAGAGGAAAAGAGACTAGGAACTACTGAATTTTTATTTCCTTTTTCCTCATTTTCCATGTTTTCGCCAGTCACTCTTCTGGAATAAACAGCCTATATTTTGCTTCCTTGTAATGGTAATATTTCTATTATTATTATTATTATTATTATTATTATTATTATTGTTATCATTGTTATTATTATTAATAATTTTTATCATAAACATTACCTCATATCATTATCATTATACCTATTTTTTAAACTGTCACCCATTAACATTGAGTAGAGCTCCAACACACCTCTCAGTCTACTCGAACCGAATTTAAAACATTAATTTTTCATCATTGCAAAACAATACGAATAATATGTTGGAAAAATGCGCTCCTCATATTAAGTATTTTAAACCTCTACTCGCAGCCATCTCTATGCCTCAAATGATCACCCCTCTTGTCAGTAACAATTTAAACTTACAACACCCTTCCACATCCTGAAATGAATGCTCCATCGAACCCACCTTCCCTTCTCTTCCCTTCTTGAACACAAATATAATGCATTCAGACATTATGGATATATTTCCTAAAATCGATATTAGAAACCACTAAAGAAATTTCAAAACAATATTGAAATATTTAAATTGTCTAAATATTATCTCCTTAAAAAGGTTCCACTACATAATCCCTCCAAAATCGTTCTAAACCTAATCTACAACCCTTTCTATGAACACAAATATTTAACCAGAAAGGGTAGTGAAATTGCGCAAATTTTATACGAAAATTCACGCAGAAATATATTTAGTTTGCTGTTAAACCGCAGAGGTGTTGTACGAAACAATGTGGAGAATGTGAAAAATATTCGACGAATCTTCCACCTCCTACTTCTTTATATTGAAGAAAAAAGATTGACGTCATTGCGTCATCCCTGGCGGCCTTGGACCTGGGGGCCCTTAACAAAGCGACGCCCGACGCCCGCGCACACGCCGACTTCAGACACCTTAAAACATTACAGGCCTACTGATGATAGAAATTCTTGTGGCGTTTTGGATTCGCCGCTTTGTACGCGCTCGGGGCAGTCATCGTGTTCCATTTTGCCGCTGGCGCGCACCAGTGCGAAAAGCGCGTGCTCCATTCACACAACGACTGCACCTCTTCTATCGCGCAGGGGACTTCGAATGAAGGTGCAGGGCATGTTTTACATATTACACGTCTTAAAATAATTCTTGTGACTTGTGAGCAGTTCGGAATACGAGTTCGTGTTTCATTACTATACGATAGTTATAAATCAAATAACTAACAATATGTATATTAAAATTCATCTTGCATTTCCAGTTTCGCCTGCGTTTTCAATTAACGAGGCCCATTTTTTAAATACTTCAACTACTTCAATGTAAATAAATGCTCTGTTTTAAACAGTCATTATCATGCCCGACAGTTGTAGAAAATTCAAAAAAAATATTTTGTACAATGTGGGAGAACAAATACCGTATTTTTAGTAGTTTTACCTTATTATTAAAGTATATTTTAAAGAATCTGTCAGAAATAAATGATTTTAAAGTGAAAAATGTTAATTTCATCGTATTAATATTTGAAAATTATGTTCCTTTAAAAATTATTTCACTTATGTCACTCTGTTTTCTTGATGATATGCTTTGAATTCAATGTAGCACATAAAACAGTAGAAGTTAATAAAAAATTAATTTTAATGGTAGAAAAGAAGCAAAAAAAACGTTTTCTTAATAGGCAAGAGTCTTCTGAACCAAAGAATTATTGTTCTTGCCTATTTATTAATGTCTTTACCCCTATGAACCCCTAACTTTTTTGTGTGAATCGGAAAAAGCTGGTTACGAAAAAAAGCTTCTATTTGTTCTACACCGAATATAAATTGATGACCGAGTAGTATTACACAACTTGTCTACATTAGTTACAACATCTGCATCTTCAACTTCATGAACAATGTATATACCAGTTTTAAAGTCTTGATGGTGTTACTTCCTGATTAGTTGTAAAAAAGGTTAGCTAGTATCTCATTGAAACAAAACATACAACTCAACTTTGAATAACTTCATGTAGATTTAAAAAAGTCTAGTTTTCGAAACGCTAATAAAGCAAAAGAAAACTAACCGATTCTCGTACGAAATCATTTAAATACAAGCCAAGCCAATTCAGCCAAGAAATATTCCTCGCCCGTGCACACATGCCAGCGGAAATACATAATTTTTTTTTCATAACCAAACAATTGTGCACAAGTCTTTCACGTCAAAACCTAATGGACTATATTTATTACTGGCAAATCTCAAAAATTAAATTTTGACAGGTACTCATCTTCATTTTTTGCTAGTTTTTAAATGCAGAAATTCACATTAATAATTTGAGTATTAAAAAGAATTACTAAATGACTTGATAGAAGTTCTGTTATTATCATCATAATCATCATAAAATTTATAACAACTATTATAAATCAAAATTATTATTTTTCGGGTTGTGTCAACATAAGAGACCAAGAGCGACTGACTAAGCCCACTACAGCCGCCCCCCGTTCCGTTGCGTTCGCGGGGGCCTTCACGCGCACGGGGAAGAGCTGCGGCGGAACGGAGCCGCGATGCGCGCCATTAGCGATCATTAAAGTGCTATTAACAGAATCCGAGCAATACTGCTAAGTTCACAATCAGCTGTGCCACACATTTTCACGACCACAGATTTTACGACAAAAGGGAAAGGGTGTAAAACAAATCGCCCCCACACACTTTTCTCCTAGATAATTCACTTGCGATTGTAAAGAGATTGATCAGCGTGGGCTTGCATGCAGAACTTCCTGTTATTCATACTCTCATTCAACTACTTCATATTCATCAACATACATTTGTGCCTCGTGCCTGAAGGATCGCAGGGTTGCAATCCCGCCCAGGGCATGGAGAGTCCGTTTACCGTTATCATTACCGTTACCCATCTGTTACTTCCAGTGCTCGCTATATGGCCTAAGTAGTTGAAAAGCGACCTTAAATAAGAGTAAAAAACATGCAAGTTTATATCAAATTATTTATTAGTAGCTCCAAGCAGTAAAAGCTATTCTAACCAAACCTCTTCTTTCTATGCAATTGCGCTGCTACCTAGCGCACACTTTGGCGCAATGGCACCGAAAAGTGCGTTTCTCGCGCACTGATAGTAGCGATGCGACATGTTCAGAATTAGAACATCGATGTTAAAAATATATCGAGTAGAAACCATCAGTTTTTCAACATCGATGTTTTTAGACTGGAAGAGTAACCTCTAACATTAAATTCGTGAGCATTAAAATTTAATTTGACGTGTTCGTGTTTATCACTTCGCCAAATAAGGGCACGAGACGAGGCAGACCTTACGCCCACCGCGCATTTGTTGACCATATCTCAATGTGCGAAATGAATACGAAGGAGAGGAAGTACAAGGATATGAAGTCATCTGGGGGCGAGAGAGTTTGGTCGATGAATGTAGTGCAGACAGCGTGCCTTTGGTTTCAACACATGAATAGTGGTACTATCGTTAATGATTCATATTTTAACTTTTACAGTTTGTGATCATCAGAAACAAAGCATCCATCACGTGTTTGCCCGTCCGCCTGCGAACACTGCCAGCGCCTCAACCACGAGTAGGATTTTTTCCAAATTGAAGAAACCCCTGTCCATCTGCCTCGAGTCGAAAAAGATTTTGAAAAGATTCTTCAAGTTTCGGGATATTTTACACGAAGTCCTCCGGAAATTTTCAAACTTTTCTCAAAAATGGCTTCAAATTGTTTCATTAAATATCTTGAAAGAATAAACATACACTTATAAAGGGGGCATAGGTTCAATTTTCACGGTTAACTCAATTTTCGAAAATTTTAAAAGCAAGTTTTTTTGGTGTTTTCCTACAACAACAAAATTAAAGATAGAGATTTACCCTTCAAATAAAATTTGTTATGTATAGTTAGTTCTTTCATTAAGGCAAAGTATTTTTTTTTTAATTTTAGTCGTTCTTGCGCAATTTTGTGCAATAAATGCAATTTTGAAAAATTACAGGAAGAAGATTTTCTGAAAAACGGCTCTCATGTTTTTCTTTAAACTTTTGGTTGGAATAGTGCTAAATGTACCCTATAAGACGACATATTGCCTTATTCTTTTGTTTTACAAAAATTATAAAAATGTAATTTTTGACGTCGTTAATATTTATATTAGCGGAAATTTGTTCCCATTATATTTATGTTTACATGTGCTTTAAATAATGTCATAAAGGTTTTCGATAACTCAACCGTTTTGCGTGATAACCAGCACAAAATTCCGCATTTCCAGTAACTCTCAAACGCCATTTTTTTCTCAAAAACTGTTCTAAATATTTTCTTGAAACATTTCCAACGGATAGCGCTAATTCCACCCTTTAATATGACTTAAAAGCTCATTTCGGTGATTTTTTTTCAAAATTACACAAATTTAATTTTTTTAAAGATCTCTCATGCCGTTGATATTCACATTTTCTGCAACTTGTTAACACTATTTTATTTGTGATTTAGAGTACTTACAATTACTTCAAATGAAGTTTTTCGAAAAACAATTTCTATGAAAGAGCTGCAAATTTCGAATTTGCAGTAGCACTTAATTGTTTTTAACGGCTTCAAATTTTTCAAAAAAAAGAAATTGCCTTTAAGGAGGAAGTTTTACTGTTCTTTAATAATCTTAAAATAATCTTTTTGATCTACAACTAGGAGCGAAAAATTAAGAAAATGTCAAAAAAAGGTACTTTGAGCGGCGATAGATGGCAGCTGGCAAGAGTGTGGCAAGTCTGAGTAGCTACCCGAGACCAATGGAAGTAGAAAAGTAATACGGGAAATAAATAATTAACATTGCAAAAGTACAATATTGTTTATAGAGGTTTTTGTAAAATAAAATGTTATAAAAATCATTCTTTAAAAAATGACATTTATATATTTTTTAATTCGAGAAGTTTAGCGTAATTTTGCAAATTTTCGAATTTGCATAGTTGAAAAGAACGAGTTTTTGCACCTGATGTTCTACGATTTGTAAGGAGTTTTGAAAATGACGAATGAGATGTGATCATGTGGAGTGGAATGGCGGCATATTAGTATTAAGAAACTTACTAAGAGCGAAAAAGTACGGGCTGTTTCAGCACCACTAATTTCATATGAGCTTTAATGTTATTGCTCAAATAATGGCGTAAGTATTCTTACACCATGGCTCAAATATAAAATGATGTTTGACCCTTCAAAGAATTGACTGGGCGTTCGCAGCTGATGAATCAATTCTTCGAACTGTCATAAATCATTTCTATCAATTACTTCTGCTAAGTAGCTACGGGGTCGCAATTACAGTTTGTAATTTGCGAAATGGGAAACATATTCCTAAATAACTGTCAAAATGTAACTAATCAGGTGATGAAATATATAATTATTATTATTATAAATAATAAATACTAATTAATAATAATAAACTTTTTTGTTCATTTAACACGATATTTAATTATGGTTTTGTCGTCAGAGAGTGGTGTACGAGGTGGTACGAGGAGCTGTAAGCAGATTTCTTCCGCCGAGCCAGCTGGTACGAGCACGTCCTCTGCCCCCGTCAGTGTTATGAACAAGCAAAATTGACGAGACTGCACTGCTTGCCCCGAAGAGGCACTAAATACAACTCCTCCTTGACGGGCTCATTTTTCTGAAAAGTAAAATCTGTAAGGGCCGCATTCACATCCGTACCATGTTACTTCAATTTTAATTCTTTTTAAATCAACGGTCATATAAATCGGGGAAAAGAATTATCGATTTTTCTGAAAATTAAAGAATGTTCAGAAGCAATGATGATCATTCTCTTCAAGTCCCTGACCGCGCCTATGGGAGTGAACGTTTTCCCTCGTAGCTCATAGCTCCTTGGACGCCAATTAAGAACTTGGCAGATGCAGCTCAATTTAAGATTAAATCAGGAACCCCATTTCCACGTTCCTGGGTATTAAATTTTATGAAACTAACAATACAGTTCATTTTCCAGGAACCGGCCAATTTTGCCTCCCAACTATTTAAGACACTAGTGCATCGAACTGAACAGGAAACGGATACGAACAGCGGGACTTCAATTTCATATTGCTAGCGTTGACCATACTATGCCTAAAGGGCCCTTCTCCACGAAGCATCACATGTCTCTACACCTGGCCCACATCGCAAATTTGGCGATGTGACCGCCTCGAGTAGACACGTTTAAGATCAACCATCTCGGTTAAGTGAATTAAAGCAAAAATACTCTCCAGTTCAATGTACTATGCTATTCGCATATTTTCGTTGAATACTTAACCTATAGCATTGTATCAAGTAGAGGAAAATTTTCAAGACGGGTAGTAGACCAAGATAATAATCACTTTCATCGAAAAGCTAACATGACAAGCAGAGATAGGGTTCCTCGTGTTGTCAGCGAGCCATCACCAGGGACTGCAGAAGTCCAGTCGCGAGAGACCGCCTATCAGTCCTCAGGGCGAAGTCCGCACTAGGAGCACGGAACAAAAACACCAACAGAGAAATCCACACTTTTTAAGCAAGAGTATTCTTCTGAAACACTGATCAAATGGGGTCGTGTCAAATAAGATATGATATATCATAGTCTTGTCTCTTGACTATCTAGATAATCAGATAAGTCAAATAACCTGCAACGAGAATGAATATAGTAGGTTTCTATAAGCCAGTGGCGTAGATAGCATATCGAAGGCTCCGGGCAGGTCCAAATCTACTCAAATACGATTGTCAGACGTGAAATCAGGAGTTTTAAATATAATTTAATAAGCTGCGGATTATATAACAAATTTAATTTAACCAGGGGAGAAATCATGCTCCAGCACTTTTAACAATGAGGTTTCCAGGCTTTGGTACGAAATCGGAAAAAGGAATATGTCAAATTTTAATTCGTGAACGTAGACTGTAGGTGTCCGACACGTCGCCCAGCTGACCATCAATTGCGTAATCACGCATACAACGCAGTCATTCTTTGAATTAAGGCTGCGACATCGAAGCAGATGTTTTGAACAGTTTTTTCGTAGACGTACGTATGTTCTAGTACCATCTTCAACGAGCTTTCATTGCTCTCAATATTTTTCAACTTCGTTTTCAGTTAAACCTTAATTTTAAATGGCCACTGTGAAATTAAACTTTATTGCGCCCTAATTTAATGTTAGAGTTTAGTAATGGTAGAGTTTAGAAACCACTTAAATCAGTGTTTAAAACCATCGATGGATTTTGTTCGAAGCATTATTAACACCGATGGTTTAATTTAGGCATCGATGTTTTATTATCAATGTCGCATCAGTATTTGAATCTCGCCCTCAAAATGTCAGTGAACGCCATCTCTGGGCGTGCCAGGAATTCTCATTCGGTACTTGTGGATTGGGGAGGGGTGCAACGGCCTTGATCTACACTAATGGTTCATTAATCACCTCTAAAGCATTCTATGATTATAGTGCTAAAAAAATATTTCCTTCCTCTATGCTCCGAGGATGAATATTCATCTTAAATTTCTCACCATTACATTTATTTTATGTGATGCATGGTGATATACTTCGCAGTCTTTCGGAACTGACTTTTGATACTGCCAATATGAAGGAAGCCTCAGCTTCCTTCGAAAACTAAGTAATTGCTTAACACAGAAACTATTTAAGAACGTAAGAGGAAGAATGACCTTCCTTGTCCTCCCCTGGTGTCATTTTTTTCTGTCCTTTGGAAAAAAAAACATGACTTAGACGAGTCAGAACCCACATTTATGGCGGCCGGTGCAACTGATTACAAATCCCTTGCTACCCAATGTAACAATACAACTGACCATGTTTTCATGTTAAAGAGTTTTCGAATTTTGTCAGCATTATTGAATTAACAAATAGTTGCGACAAACTTTTTTAATCTCCCGTGTGCGCCGTAACTACAGAAAATCAAAAAAACAGAAGTGGCTTAAATTAAAATTCGGTGGTTGTACTATAATTTAAATACTCGTACGATGTTCACAAAACTTTTATGAGTTACAGACGTTCGTGTATTCCACAGAGGCTCTTTCGCACTCCCTAGTGCTCTTTTCCCGTCGTTACGCACAACTTCGTGTAACTTGTCGTCCATCTCGTCGCAGCACGAGTCAACCTTGGAAATTAAATAGTCTGACCTCCGTACATCGAATCTGCCGGTTCCTTCAATAATATTAGATATATAGAAACTTGGATATACAGAAATGATAATGAAATTTTAGAAAATTTCTTTAAAACAATTTTGAAAAAATTGGATAAAATGGAAAATTCGAACATTAAATAATTTACCAATGTTTTCATCAGTCTCACCAGATATTTATGAATAGGAACATTCAGATATTTTTGTTTAAACGTTTCCAACACTTTTCATCAGTGCGTAACAGCAAACTAAACCTGCGCTGAACGAGCAAACGCATCGGAGAGCAGGGCCATTGGAAGAAGGGGCGCGTGGTTGGCCTTCAGATGGCCTCGACGAATGCACACCCACGTCCGGAGGGATAGCAGTAGTGCGTTTCCTTCGTGAAAAAGCTGGGAACTGGACGCAGAAAGTGTATTAACATTTATCCAATTATGCACACATCCAGGAAGAAGTTAGTCTATATTTTTCCACAGTAATAACACTACTTCCAAATTAAACAATACTATTTTTTAGAAACAACTTTTGGTATGAACTGTAATTTTTATTACACACAAAAAAATCTGGTGCGAAAATGAGTTCGATATATAGAAACGTTTTAGAACGCAATTTTCAGGGGGCAGAAAAAATTGATTTATAGAGAATTTCGATGTATAGAAGTTCTATATGCGGAGGTCCGACTGTATATGTCTGAAAATCCATTACACCTACCTTCTACATTCGTTCGATAGTTGGAAATGCCGTTTACAACTTGTTTAAGTATTTATCCTTACATTGCATGGTGGAGAATGCCCTTACTCAGCGAACAGGAATTTACGAAGAGAGGAAAATACACCAGTACACAAAAATGACAAGAAGGTACGTTCCTACATTGTTGACTGAAATGTCGATTTTCATTGTTGAAAATTTATTTTCTGAAAAGTAGAAAGTTAATCAAAATCAGTAAAAATTAAGTTCGTTCGTGAACTGCCAAGAAATTTCGATTCGATTCCACGCTTTTGCTCATCACATTACAATCTACTTGCACTGGTAAACATGTTCTGGTTATAGGTATGTCGGGCGTAGATAGGATGTCTTGGTGATAGGGTAAGAAGTAAATAAAATGACATAAACAAAACAAATCACAATAGCAAATATTGGGAGAAGAGACATCAGCGTTTTGTTGAAAACAAATTTACATCAGTAATGCAAATATAACTCCTTTCCTTCCTTGAGCTAGCTACGCGCCAAAGCCTAATAGATTATAATTTTCAAAACTCGAACTAGAAAACATCTTATTGTATGCGTCTGTAAGAGGAATGGCGAACAATTGAGAGTTACATTCTCTGCCACCCATCTTAATGAACTCCGCAAAAGAACTAGTGGATTTCCAGACCGCGCAAATTTCTTATGCATAAGGACACCGACACAACCATTCTTATTAAAATTACGCTACAGAAGGCGCTCTAAAGAAGCCCCAATCCGCGCGATAGTCACAGTGACCTACAAACACGCGTCGCTACAGTCGGCGCCTCTGAGAGGCTGCCCCAACTGGCCTTGCGTGGCACCTACCTGCTGGATGCCGGCTATTCTACTACAAGTACTACGCCCCTGGCCTGGAGTGACGGAGAGAGGTCCCGGAGCGGAGGCGCGCGTGCGTCGTGAGAAGTAGACAGCTGCGCTTCGCAGTTCCGCCCACAGGGCCCTGCCTGCGCGCTGCGAACCGCCAACTCCCCCCCCCCCTCTCCACTGACAGTCGCCACTCCTCTCCGCTGCGCCGTTTCGTTTGCCGATTCGCCGCTAGATAGTGCACTTGTGAATTGTGAAGTGATGGAGCTCGCGAAATAATTCCAGCAACGATAGAATCCGAAGTATTATTTTCGGTACGAGCTTCCGTTAGCGTAAGTATATTTCGACATTCAACGTTTTTAGCTTCCATCTAGCATTTGCAGACAAGTGCGTAATGAGAGGAGCTAGCGTTGTCCTCAACAAAGAATATTTTGGAAGCCTGAATTTTTTTATCTTTATGTTTTTCTCTAACCGTACTTTTTTTACCTCAAACACCATTTCAAAAATGCATTCGTAAACTTTTGCTTTTGCTCTCCCCAAAAACCCGTAGCTCTTACAAGCTTCTCACTCATATGAACAATCCTGTTCCTGAGTTAAAGTAACTTTATTAAAATATTTTGAGGAAACTCTTATTTGAAACAATTTTTCAAATGAACATGAGAAATTATTTGAACAATAATTTTTAATTTGTCATTAATAATATTACAAAAATATTTTAGCAACGTTCTTTATCAACTCCCCTTCCCATTCATTTTCCGCGCAGATTCACTCCCACTCTCCCAACATTATACACAGTTTCACTATTTTTTCTATAAATAAACTGCCTTTCCCCCAAAAGCAATTATTATTTTATAAGCCTTTTAATAGTAATTTTTTGTTTCCTAACCTCTAAAGGCCGTAGTCTGTGGATCAATTATCGGCTGCCAAGTTCAGTTTTCACCGGCCAAGGCCGAGATAGCAGACGGTTACCATGGTGAGTCAATGTAAGCAAATGTGTGGAAACTCTTATTACTCGCGCAACTTTTCTTGAACGATGGATTGAAGAAATGCGGGTAGAGTGGGGGTATTAGTTACGAAATCCGCCACTAGATTTTATGAAGGAATGTCAATCTCTAGATTCGTACCTGCTTCGGTCATTTCTTTAGATTTTTGGAGAAAATAACCGATAGAAGTTCTCGTCTTCAAAAGAAAATTGTTTCTACTTCACGCCAGTGAAAATTTTGGAATGTTGTCATCAGTGCTTGCTGCGACCTTTTGCCTTCATCTGTTTATTGTGCTAGAGAGGGGAAGCAAGGTCATCGTTCAAAACAAGTTGAGCGAGTAATACTAATAATATTTTTTATTCTTAGTATACAGATTATATTTAACTCACTGGTGATTAACATTATATTAAAAACACAAATAGAAACTATGTTTTAAAATATTATTTCTGGAACTGTTACGTTCTCCGCGGATTTGAGATGGACAGATGATAACTACAGTAATTCAACAATTGTACTGATAACTGAGATGATAAAGCAAAAGGAAATTGCATTTATGCAACGAAAACGGATGGTTTAAAAGAGTTATCTCTACAAATATGAATGTGAATATACAAGGAATGCACCTCAGGTCGAAAATAGATAATTTGTCGAACTTGATAAATAAAAGCAATTTTCTGAATTTCTCTTTTGATTTGTCTGTATTCCTCATAACCATTTCGCTAAACTTTCCGAACTTCGTTAAAGAATTAAATGTTTCCTACACAGTAACGTGAGAAATATTTCTATAAAGTAAATTCGTCGGCGAGATCCGGCGCCGACCTATCTGTCGACTAGCAAGATTTTCCCCATCAGGTATCTCCCCCCAGTGGGGCACCACCCCAGCCGGGTCAAGCTGATTGCTCCCTACTGGCCTCCCGGCATGTGTGATAGAGTATTGCATGTAAGAATGCGTAAGTAAGGGGCGAGAATAGGACAAGGAAGAGGAAGGAAAGATTGCGCGCGGTCCGTGGTTCATTTGTTACGATTCTGCTCCGGCATTCGCCTGGTGTTGATCGGAGAAACCACGGAAAAGTACCTATCAGAGCAGCCGATAGACTTCTTCACACAGAGGCTCAATTCGACCTGTAGGAAGTGTCGAAAATCCTGCCACCGTCAAGACTCGAACCTATTACCTCCCGGTCAGAGGCACTGCAGTGAAATCAATTGATGCCCTGAGCCACTCAAGCCGGTTCTACTCATCGACTTGAGAGATTTTCTTCCTCCAGGTATCTGCGCTAGCCGGGCACCGACCCAGCCCAGACAAGCTCTAGGCTTCCAGCAAGTGTGATAGTGGAGTGCATGGAAGTGTGTCGGTCCAAGGAGAGGAAGAAAAGATCGCCCGTGGTCGTTTCGTAAGGCGCTGCTCTGGCATTCGCTGGGTATTGATTGGAGAAAGCACGGGAAAGAGCAGCTAAAATTCTTCTTTAGGCACCGACTGAAATTAGACCTAGCTCTCTAGCTAGTCCACCGTAGTCGAAACTGGAACCTCTCTGTCAAAGCCACTGCAGTGGGAATAACGGTTGCCCTGGGCCATCTCAGCTGATAGATTTATTGAAAAGAAAAGAAACAAAAACAATTTCATATGTTTAGTCCAATAATATTTTACTTTATTTCATATTACAAAAAAACATTTACATAACTAACATACAAGTCAAGTTTCCATTTCACCACTGAAGTTGCATTTCATTTACAGAGCAGGGAATTTTCCTTGCCATGTCACCTTCATCAATATTTAACTGGCATCCTTATACTCTCATGGAGTCAAATCTCTATCGCAACTACGTATCTCGTAATAATGATTCGATAAACGTCAAGCAAAGTCCACTATTGTACGCATTTCAATAAAAATGCTACATCATTGAAGAAATGGAGTATTTTCTTTATCTTATTTCTCACAAAAATATTTGAATCGTGCTGATACGCAAGTAGTTTTTGTGATTTACAATTAATTGATAGTATAGTAAAAAGTTTAACGTTTCCTTCCAATTTCTTGTTCGGGAATAATATTGTTTGAAATCGTTTTACTTATCTATTTTATGTACCTATATTTTCTTCGTTTCATATACTGTACACTGAAAGCAGCTCCAAGACTCGTTTCGAGGGGTCGTTCGCCCCACAGCCAGCCGCCACGCGTATCTTGATGAGCGACCTCGATTGAATCGTTACCTCGAGCGATAAGAACCAGACGAGCGGTGGATATTCCGTTGATTCAACATCTTCGGGACGTGTTATCAGGTTACTTAGAATAGTGACATCTACAGTCGCTCTTTTGGTAAAGGTTTAATTTCTGTTTAAAGCAAAAAGAGATAATTTTAGGAAATGTCTTGATGAAATGACAACGCGTTCGCTTCGCAAACACCGGAGTTCCTCATGAAGTTAGCGAATCCCTTCTCCCCCTCTGTGATATTTAAAGCATTTAAGAACATTAAGACATTTAAGAACAGAAAACGCACTAACGAGCATATGAATATTTTTGATTTTTTTTTTTTTTTCAAGATAATTGGAACGAGAAAATAAAATTGCTCTGGAGGTATATTTAAAGAATATTCTAGATGGCAAGGGAAATAACTGGACAGGATTTTATACATATGTTCGTAAAAGGAAGGGAAATAAAGAGAATATCCCAGTTATTCGTGAAAATGGAAACATGCTCATTAAGCAAAAGCTAATGAGTTTAATAAGTATTTCAGTTCGGTTTCCAAAAACAATACATATCATCCACTAATTTAAGGGTCTTCGGCTACAAGTCAGTTTAATATTGAAGTAAACGTTCTAAGGAATAAAATAAAATACATGAAAAATCGTAAGTCAAAGAGTTCAGACGACATTTCTACAGATATAATTAAACTAGGAGAGGCAATATTTCCGTACCTAATTAGAATATTTCACGTATCCATGAACAATTCAAAAGTACCTGAAGACTGAAAATTAACTATTGTCGTACCAATTTTTAAAAGTGGTGACAAAACTATATTAAGTAATTAAAAGCCGGTAAGTCTTACGTCAGTGGTCTGCAAACTTATGGAGTATCTAGTTGCTAGTTACATTAAGCAAGAATGGGAGATCAAAAAATGGCTCTATGATGGGCAACATGGATTCAGGAGTGGTTACTCGTGCGCAAGTCAGGTAGTCACGCTACTTCAGGTTTTTATAATATTAAATATTATTTATTTTTATTAAATTTTATTTTATATAATTATTTCAGGATTTTACAGATGAAATTGACACAGGCGGGAATGTAGACGCAATAGTTATAGACTTTGCCAAAGCGTTCGATGTCATTCTCACGATTGGCTTACACAAAACATGGAAGAACAGAATACCAGAATGAATGCAGGTATCTATTCCAGGGCAGTGGCGTGGATTAGCGAGTTTCTGTGAGACAGAAATTGCAAATTGGGCTAGTGGTATCTGAAGCGTTACACCAGGAATACCGCAGGGGAGTGTCAATAGACCTCTTATATTTCTGGCATTCGTCAATGATCTGCCAGCGCACTTAATCTGAAATGTTCGGCATTTTTTCAGATGATTGCATAATACATCGTAGCATGAATTCGACAGAAGGTTAACAAATGCTGCA